GGAGGAAATCTGAAGTGCTGAATAGTAAAGAGCAGGCAGCATATTAAAGCAGTCCCCTGTGGACAGCCCTGTTGTAAACAGTATCATCTCAGAGCCGACTTAGAGCTGAGCTGCACGCCGGGCTTGCGGCAGCTTTCGCAGCCCCGGGTTTGAAGGATTCGCTTGAGACCCCTCACAGGAACGCAGCGTCTCGAGGCGTGCCCGAGCCGCCRGCCTCGCGGGCAGCACCAAAGCGGGTACCCGGCTCCGGGATGGCTGAGCTCCCGCTCCKCACGCTGATGGCAACACCGTGCACGCTCCAGCTCAACCAAGCAAGCAAGGGGAGAACTGGGAATAAAGGGAGACAGGGGAAAGGGCAGAATGACCCTCCAMCCTCAAGTCTAATCTCAGTGGTTGCAGCTCACAACCCAGAAAACCAGATTGACAGAACCACAGAACCCTTAAGGTTGGAAGGGACCTCAGAGGTCATCTAGTCCAACCCCCTGCACACACAGGGTCACCCAGAGCATGGGGCACAGGGCTGCGTCCAAGCGGGTTTTCAAGATCCCCAGAGAAGGAGACTCCACAACCTCTCTGGACAGCCTGTTCCAGTCCCATTTCCCAACATAGATACTTTCCAATGTGGGAAGGCAGAGCATAACCCTGCGTGGGGTGCAGGGGGAGAAGCGAGGTCCTCTGCCAGCAGGGTCAAGCCCTCTCGCCAGTGCTCAGGAGGCAGGAGGAGAGAGGGGATTAAGATCCTCAGGAAACACAGCTCTCCCTTTATTCTTGTGCAGATAAATATTTGAAAGCACCTATAAAGAAAACTCAGCCAAGCGTCCCCTGCTACCCCGAAGGCGGCCGCATCAGTACAATGGGAGCCACATTTCCACAGGCAGCAACACAAGAAGGAGGTTGAATACATCAAGTTTGCAGGCTGCAGTACCTGCTGATTTCTACAGATATARTTTTGTCCAGATATCTGCTTTTATTATTACCCATGAAAGAATGCATTTTGCACTACATGATGGGAATGCCAATATGACAGTGCTTGTCTTCTGAAAGGAGAAGGGGGAACAGCAACGCCACCTGCTCAGAGGAAGCCCAAGGCCACACCAGCACAGACACACCACCACATAATTGGTGGCAACAAAAACTACTAATGAAGTTGCTGGATTTTGAGTTATCCACCGGTCTTTTCCATCCATTCAAGGAAGAAAGGGGAGCCCGTGTCCCTGCTTCTCACAGTAACTCATTAAACCAGGCACCTCAGATCCGCTTACAGAGAGGCAACCTGAGAGCAAAGGCCGGCCCTTCAGCTGGCACAAGCCAGGCGCTGTCTTGGGTGGACACTGGCTGAAGCTTTAGTTGTAGGGCAGGAGCAAGTCACCCACCGACATCTCTGCACCGGAGCAAATGGGGYGGGAGGGCTCCGGGGTTGGGGTCAAGCTTTGAACCTTGCTCAGAGAACTAAGCTAAGCCGCCGGGCAAACCGCCGGAGCGACGGCTGCCTGCTGGGCTGCCCTTCCCCTTTCCATGGGATAACACAACAAGCAGCAGGCACCAAGTGCCCTTTGAGGGCTCCTTTCCACTCCCCGTGCCTTTGCTGTGGTGACACTATGCTGACTGCAGTGAACCTGCCCCTAGTCACCGCTACAGGAAGCCAGGAGCATTCAGTTTTTATCTTGGTGTTAACTTCCTCTCCTCAGCCAGCATTTCCAAACGCCTCTCCAAAGCCCTCCSAGGTCCTTGCTGTGCTAGAGGTGGGGAAAGGACCCCCGTGAGACCTGCACAGCCAGCCCCTCTGCTTGGCARGTCTGACACAGGGCACAGCGAATCAAGCAAGGTCCCTTTGCACCTCCTCAGACTCCTCACCGTGCACTTCAGCGAGTCATTTAGGTGGGGTACAGGGCGAGCTCTTGCACACAGAGCTCTGCAGAAACCTGGTATCGGGCAACCTGCACGTTATGGAGCGCTCACAGCGCAGGAACAGATGGGCACCTAAGCCCTCCTCTACCTTAGCACGAGGGTTTCATCCCATCTGTGCAGCAGCAATGACCTTCAGGTTATTCAGATTGCAAGGGAGTCCAAAGTCTCCTCTGAGATTGGATTTCACCTGAGCTGGGTGCTGTAAAACTGCAGGGTCCTTCCCTGCCATGTTTACAGTTTAACCCGGCAATGGCTGGGATTGCTAACAGAGAACAGGGATGCGACTTGCCCTTGGATGTGCAGCAGGGCACAGAGGGGACTGAAACAGCAGCTGCACTTCCTTAGTATCCCCACGGAGCTGCAGGCAAGCCAGGAGCCCGGCGCATCCGCAGCAGCAGCCTCTTCCCACACCCCTGGAGAGGCCCCTGCTGCAGAGGCTACAAGCCAGMCACTGGCAGAACTGGTTGATACCTGCTAGATAACGTTATGGCCGATATTAAAATGATTTCCATGTGCCTAGATGCAGTAAATCACTGCTTTATCTCGGGTCCTTAGCTGGTTACTGATTAGCAGGGCCTAGAGTGCTGCCATGGAGGCTCCACGTGGATCGTGCACACAAGGTGATGCTCACCCCCAGGATCAGGTAGCATCGGGGCCCCAACATCTACCAACCCCAYGTGACATGAAGGTCTCCTCCAGGTGGAGGCAGCCCCTTGGGGACAGCCCCAAGTCTTCCCGCAGCAAGAAATCCCGGAAGATGTTACAGCTCTCGGCTTTGATGTGTCTCAATCAAAGGGAGATTTGGCACGCCTGATAAGGGTGCCTCCCTCCCCTGCATTTCCCCATTTGCCTCTACCTCCTTTGAGGCAGCTACGCCCCTATCAGCAGAAAGGGTGGAGCAGATTTTTGCATCACAAACAGAGACAACACAAAATTAGTTCTCCCTGGGTGTGCCGGGGGAGCCAACCCGGCTCCCAGAGGGATGGAAAGCACCACAGGAGCCACCACGAACTCCACACCACGGGGAAGAAGAGGTGGTTCCCCAGCAGTTCCCCCTGCCTCTCCCAGTTCCCCATATCTCGTYTGGGGGCTCGCGTGGCTCGCGCTTCACAAGGTGAAGCTTTGCGGAAAAGCCTCTCTTGCCCAAGGAACCACATGGATGCAGATGACCAGGAAGGTCTCCTGGTGGCAGACAGCACGAGGTGCCCCCACTCCRCTTGTCCCTCTGTGTTAGCGCAACCCCAGATCTTCCATGGCTTCTCTTTAGTCTCTCCCGTGCCAGGCAGAGCAGTCACAGAAGCAAACTGCTTCCCTCTCGTCTTTCCAAAAATTGGCTGGTCTCTATAAATAGCTCCAGCGAGCTTTACTACCTAGTTCCTGGCATATTTCTTCCAAAACCCCGGTGTCCCCAGCCATGCCTGTCACCGGTGCTTGCTTCACAGCTCCCCTCCACCCGCGAGTGCTCCGGTGCCGCACGGCATGGGGCAGCTGACACCGCCTGCTCCTGCACCTCCCTCCTTCCTTCTGCCTCTGCTCCTCTGGGCCACGCTCCTGGCAGCGGGATGCAGCGCAAACGGGAGCGGAACGCACGCCGATGCCGCAGACCCGCAACCCTGCAGCCACTTCTTAGACTTCAAATCTCCTCTTGAGCTTAGCAGGACGCAGTAGCGCTGCCRGGACTGTTGCTCAGAGTCAGCAAAGGGCAGCGGCAAGGAATTYAACAGGCTCTGGGGTTATACACTTCGTTTAAATTTATTCTACCCTTTCCTTCGACTGTGCTCTCTTTAACTTGCATTAAGGCCCTATCATTTCACTCATCTAAGCAAAACCATGAAACTTTAGCCCTCTCTGGCAATGCATGCTGACATATCTGCAGCGCACTTGTAGCATCTCATCAAGAAACCGACCTGTGTTTTTAGCTCTGCTTTAAAGCCAAAAAAAGTCAACTTTGCGTCCCTGCAAAGGGTTTGGTCCAAGCCTCGGGAAGGAGGGTCCTTGCACCGCGCCAGGCAATGGCACTGGGCAGATCCTGACATATTTTCAACACAAGGAAATAATGGTCGCTCCTAACTTAAGATGGTTGAACTGTTTTTTCCTTTAGTCTACTACACACATGAAGCCAATTTCAAAAGGAAACCGACCAGAAAAATTCAGCTCAAAATGTTGCGTTTCAAAAAGTTATAAGCAATTACAAGTACCAGAAAAGGAGAAAAGATGGAATTAAAAGCACTTTAGCAACCTCAAGCAGTGAAGTGTCACTCCCAGCAGATCCCCCCAAACCAAAATTACTTAACGCACACATATGTAGGGCTTGCTGCATTAAATTATTCATTGACCTATGTGCAATCCTGAACTAGTGCCAGAAAATACCTCTCCATATCCTGCTGCTTTTATTGTTGTCAAATTAGGACTTTTACTTAGTTTTTAGAGCTTTTTTTTTTGATGATGAACATTAGGCCAATCACTTTTTCTTTGACCAGTTCTTCCACCTCTCCCCACCGCAGCTTCTAGAACCTTGCACTTCCCCTGCACCTCCCAGCCTGTAACTCTCACTTCACTTTCCATTTCTCCCCAACTTCCTCCCAGATTTCTCCTTCCCTAGCCCCACCACAGCCCCTTTGCTTCCCTCCACCCTCAGTGCAGCACAAACACTCGCCGAGCGCTGGCCAGGGCTGCCCRTGCGAGGAGGCTTCTCCGGGCCAACTCCTGAAGCTGCTGCCTCCCCGCTGCACAGCGGGCTCCTCTTGGCACCTCATCACTGCCCAGCTCCTCTGCATCATCCCTTGCTCTACCCAACCAGCCTGGTCAGTCCGGGTCATCATGCATTGACAGGGAGCTCTCCTACTCTCAGTGCATGATGTGGCACCACTTCTCCCTCTACCCTTGCACCAAGGGCACAGTGCGACACATTAAAAAGTCAGTTTTGGTCAGCAATGGTCCCATTTGTCTCTGGGTGGAGAGCAGGAAATAATTGCACTCTTTTGGATATTCCTTCGGCAAGTCCAATGTGATGAAGAAATGTGTCTGGGGAGAGGGAACATTGCCTTCCCTCAGGAAGAGAAGTTTATAAATGGGCACGATCATGTTTTATTCTAAAACCCAGCTGCATTGCTGAAGAAGATGCTGTGCTCCTGACCCAAGCTAGCAATAGTTCGTGGCTGCTTTGGAAACTGTCTTGTGGGTTCGTAGGCTCCAGGCCCTGGTGTATCCTGTACAGATAGAGAGAGAGAAAAAAAAAAAGGCAAATAAATGAGGGAGGAATAAACAGCAAACTCCAAAATTAGGTCTCTTAGAAAAGGGCCTCATTTCTGAGCAATATGCAGCAGAAGTGCCTGAAATCTCCAGAGAGGACCGGAGCCTCCGTGCCTGTATCTTTAGCCATTTTCACYCAGAGATCTCAAAAGTAGTCTTCAAAGGATGACAGTGTGATTATCTCTACATGTGAATGGGAAAATGGTAGAAAAATGAAATGACTTCCCATGGTCAACAGCCCTCTTTGTTTCCATTCAGGTGCTCTACTGAGCTGTGCTGCTTCCAGAGCCCAGAATCAGTGTCCAGGAAGATCTCATGTATTTACAAGCCTGTACAACCCAATTGATTCAATTCAGTGAGTCATGCACTTAGTGGGAAGCATAAATTTCTGAAAAAAACAAGGCTAAGTCTGAGAGACAGGGTGAGAGTGAAGTGACTGAGAGGTTTGTGAGGAGCAGCCATAGACAAACCCAATGAGAGAAGAAGGAAGGTAGAYGGACTGAGAAGTCCAGAGAGACCAGAGACAATCTTGGGCCTCGCTCCCTAATACTATCCCATCCCACTGCCTGCTTTATCCCCTCTCGTTCCAGCCTGATTCAGGCGCTTGCAGCTGCCTTGGCCCAAATTAAAGCTTTAATAAACTTAAGGAGYGAGGAGAGGGCTCCAGAGAGAGGAAAAGGAAGGGAATGACTGCAGAGTGAGGAGGAGGAGGCTGCTATTCCATTTGCCCTGGGGTCTGAAAGAGCATTCAGCAGGCCTGGTCGCAGCACAGCTGCCTAATCATTGCCAGCGTTGTATATGTGCAATATATAYGTGCAATGCTGCACGTATGCTAATGAAAATACAAGGCCACGCTCTGTATGGGTAACATTAACCCACAACGGGAAATGGTGGAAAGGTGCAAAATCTGTTCCAGAAGCTTGTTTAGAAAGAATTTTCTTTCATTTCACCAAGACTGCTATCCTGAAATGCYTCTCCAAGCATCCAATCCTTTTCACCCTCTCCCCTAGGCGGTCCTGTTCCTGAAAAGCAACAAAATTGAGTTTCCTTCCTAAAAAGATAAATTTGCCTGCATGCCTCTCTCCTCCCCCTCTTCTCACATGTACCCAAGACCAGAAAAATCTCTCAGGCTTAGCAGTCCCAGCCAGCCCCTTGCTCCATGCCGTGCTGATAGCCGTGACTAGCAGGATTTGAGTGGTTGCCAGCCTCAGTGGGGTTTACGTAAGTGGCTGAAATGCTTGCTCCAAGCTTAAAAACCTCAGTGCCAAAAGCCCGCTGCTTCTGCCCAGCTAACCTTCTCTCAGAGTATTTTCTTTCCACAGCCAAAGTTTCACCTTTCTCAGCCACAGGACACGTTTCCGAAACTGATTCTTGGTAATTGTTTCTTTTAGAGATGACCCCGGGTGATTAATTTCAGGCTGCGCAGACACACTATTTATCGGATAATATTTCAGATTACTCACTGAGCGGACTGGCAGCATCCTGGGCACTTTGGACTGGAAACATGAGCACACGGTGCGAGACGGTCCAGTCCTTACTTCATAGTGACCTGGGCCTGGGCCTTCCTTCTACAAGAGCAAACAGAAAAAAATGGATTTATCCAGTGGTAGATCCTGTTTTATGTCCCTTTCTTGAGGAACTCARAAACGCCTGGGTGGTCTCATAATGTGTGGATTTGGGCAGGAATCTCGCAGGGATCCCGGCACCCCTGTCCCGGGGCTCCTCCAAGCCGGGTCGGGCAGCGACTTTGCCCATGGTGAGTTGGGCTCAGAAGCAGCACAAGTCCTCGTTCCAGCCCTGCAGATCACTGCAGGCTTGAAAAGAGGTCACGAGCCGCTGTTTTGTAATTGTGCAGTATAATTAGTTCAGAGAGAGCACACTGCGACCCCATTACCTGCCCTCTGCTCTTCGCACCGCTGTCTTCGCCTAGCAGGAGGCRGCAGAAACTAGAGTAGTGCAACTGATTTTTTATTTCCCACTTTCATTTTTCAGGAATATTATCCTAAAAGAAGAAGAAAGGAAAAAAAAAAAAAACCAAAAAAATCCAGAAAGAGAGCAACCATCTGTTGCCTCTTTTGCAGTGATGGTGAGCAGTGCATGACCCAGGCCACACAGCAAGGCACTTTCTGTGACTTATGCAGCATATGGGACAGGATTTTCAGCCATTTACTTATATTTCCTAACGTTTTCTTTTGCTCCTTCCTTGCTCTCGGCAGTCAGCAGGGAGAGGATTTCACTCTTTGATGCTGAAAGGGATTCCAAGCAGAGCAGCAGTTTGCTAAGTTTGCTAAGTTTACAGGATCAGGGCCTACATGCTAATGGGCCTGTGATAAAGATTGGGATCTATCAGCAGGCGTGAGCAATTTAAACAAATTCCAAGAGAAAGCCTGTCTTCCCACRAAGAAATAAACTGTCTCCCTACAGGATCTGCAGCCACTCAACCACTGAAGAGCTGTGCTAGTGCAGAGGAGCCTGGGGTGAAAGCCAATATGAACTTAATCATAAACCATTTAATTGATATTATCCAAGCTGAAAAGTAATGCAAGTGAGCAAGAACAAATAAGTGATGGGGATTTCTAGAAAAAYGCTTTAGCTTTAGATGTACAAAGTATTACTTCCATATCTATATAGGTATACAAGTATTTTTCATGTTATCGTGAATTTTAGAGGACTGTAAAACCGAATATCTTTGGAACAAGACACTGAAATAAGATAATGATCTCCTGTAGCTATAGAAATTAAGAAAGAAACAGAGACGTGCATATGTTTTCTTCTCCAAGGAACAGATAAATGTACTGTGGCCATYACTTTTCTCCAGAGAAAGAATCACTGTATTGCATTCTGTGGTTTTCTAAATTATCTTCCTCACATAGAGGGATTATGGAGAGAGATGGAGCCGGGCACGTACTAACCACGCTGCTTGGCCCTAGGGCTGGCTTGAATATCCAGACACCTATGACAGTTTAATAATAGCTGAAAAGGAACTCTTCATAGAACTTATTCTTGAAGAAAATTTAAAAAATCCTTCTTCTCACACATATTTCCTTTTCTATCTAAATAGTCTAAAGTGTTTGGTCTAAATAGACCAAAGCCAACATTGACCAAGGCTTATTTGCTTTGGATGTAGATCATTTTGGTTATCATGTTAATTGGGCTACTTGCGTTTAAGATATTTTATACAGAAGATTAAATTAGATCAGACAAGTGATGATGAGCAGAGAGCAGAAGGAATAAAGATATTTTTTCTCCAGATCTAGGCAGATGGGCATGACAGGTTAAATGAATGACAGGTGCCAACAGAGACACATACAGCTTCATGATTTTAGTAGGGAATTCTTGGAAAACTAAATGCAATAAATTGRCACAGCAGTGCTTCTCGGAAAGGTCCTACTCTCCTCTCAGATAGAAATTTCAAGATACGATTTCAAGTATTTGTTTTTTTAGAACCTAAGCTAGTGAGATCCTTTGCTCCCCGAACGCAGGCTGATGCACGCTTTGCCTTTGCAGTAGGAGACATTTCCCATTTTATCTGCTATGACTACATGCTTTTCATTTCCATCTTTTCACCTCTCCAGCCCTCTGGCCACGTGTCTTCCAGAATTTAGTTGTGGACCTGGATTATTACAGGGCCTTGTTTGTACTCCCTAATATAATATCAGGATAAAAACAGATCCATTTTAGAGAGCTTCTGTCTCCATCTAAGAAGCAGTAAAACTGAAGCATGTAGATTTTAAGCAATAGCCAAGAGGAGGAACAAAAGCCATTCCTCAAATGAAGAGGCGTATTTCCTGCCTCCTCTAATCTGAAGCCAAATGACCTTGACAATACAGAACAACATTTTCTTGTATATGATTTTGCTCTTTGCATCTTTTCTTTTTGCTTACTACCATAGTCATTTACTTGAAGTGTTTGGTGTTAATTACAGTAAAYATTTTTCCATTTCTATACAGATGGGAAACGCACTAGAATATAACTGCATGGTTCTAGTTCATCATCTGCTCATCTCTTSATAGAGATCAATATAGATTAGAGGTAAGTCTGTTTATCCATATTCATTTTTCAAAAACCAAAATGATATGCAACAGATTTATAATTAAGCAGAAGTGATGATGGTTTTGTACAGCTTACTTAAATGGATTTGCCACTATGCATTAGAGTAGATGCTATGAAAGCAGACCAGATGTTGCACTTTTATTTTCCTCTGTGCTGCAATTTGCATCCTAAACAAAGCTTGAGGTCAAAGTTTTTGAACCTGGGGATCTAATATTAGTTTTCTAAAGTTAGGTGGCTTGATTTACAGAGGAATGAATAGCCCCATCTAGCACAGAAATCTGAATTTACTCAAAACTATGTGTCCAAACAGTGGCAACTTTTAAGTTCCCAAACCTGCTGCACTCAGTTTCTCATGTAGCTTTTGCTTTGTGGCTGGAATACTTGCATTTTGTCCTGAGCAAAACGAGCAGAGCTGTACCACCACTAGGTCTCTCCTACAGGTGAGCTGCAGCAGGCTTCCTGACTCCCGCAGACTAACACAGGCCCTCCCAGGAATCCTCATGACACACAGAGCCATCAGTGAGGCACCTCTTGGCACTTGTGCGTGTCGCAGGCTGCAGCCTGCAAGCTCTAGCATACCCTTTCATACCCCCATCCTGCCCAGTTTGATGTAGGCACTGGAGCTCTCTAGCTACCTGCYGAGTCTGAGTAAAAACAAGCAAGCAACCAAGCATCCAGACCCCAAAACTCTGGTGCCATTGGTGGCATCTTCAGGCCATCTTAACTGAATGGTCCCAGAAATGTCTGGGGATGCTTTCTGAAGCTTTCCAGCTCACTGAGATAACCTACCTGACCGGTTCCAGCTGGAGATCATGGCCTAAGCCCAGAGATCAAGCAGGACTCTTTCTAACATCTTCCTTGCAAGCCAACTAGTGCTGACAGGATAAAAGCCTTAAAGGCTCAGAAAACTCAGGAGATAGAACGTTTTGTAAGAACTATCTCCTATCCTATATTCTTCCCTATTCTCTCCAGCACCAGCTGAGGGAATGTCCTGCTGMCTTTGCTGGAAATACTTCGCTGAAAACCTGAGGTATAAAAAATACAGATTGCATAAGGCAGTGCAAGGCACCTGAGACTCAGACATAAACAAGTACCTTGGTGCTCAAGTCTCTGGTATTGGCTGTGTTGGCAGCATTTAACTGAATTCACTTGCTGAGGACACRGAGTATATAGGGCCCACAAGTCTCATCCTCTCACTTGCTGGATTTGGGCAGAACTAGACTCTATAGGTAAGTTTTTTTTCCCTTGCTGCAATGAGATGCCTTTGGTGGAGGCAGGATTTCACAAGATTTCACACTCCATTCACAATGAAATCACTGTGGTTAGTCATGAGACAGAGCCACCAGGAATGTGCTCCTCACATCATGGAAAAGAATAGGCTTGGGCAAGGACCTATTACAATCAAATTACACAACTGCTTCCATGCAGAGTTGGTTTCTCCAATTATTAGCGCCGTCACTGTGTGTCCTGAGTGACTCAGGGATCGTACGTTGTCCATCAAGAGCAAAAGCCATTTGGAGTTAGATAAAAGCCCTCCAAATGTATTCCTTAAAATGTATGGCTCAAAACTTTTTGAGTATCAGTAACTGTAATGTGAATTATCTCGATGCACTGAAAGTTTGTTCGTTTTTACTACAGTTCTTAAACCAAAAGCATGTCTAACGGCTCTTAGAAGCTGCAAGAAGGCCCCAATCAAGCAGTAAAGCATCTGTGCAGATGCTGCTCGAGAGTGGTGGTTTTGCTCAGTGCACTCAGCCTGTAGCAGCCCAGCTTTCCAACATGCCACACAGCCAGCACTTCCTCACTTCAGAAAATACAGCAAGAATGTAACAAAGAAAAAAAGTGCTCAAGTCACATTATTTTAGAATTRTTTTTAGAATTAAAAGGAGATAATTATTGCTCATTTCTAGGGTCTCTTGAATTTCAACTGGCTCTTTCAAACAATAACTTATGCTTTGAGCCTCCATACTACTTATACTATTTTTGTTCCTGCAAGCACTTTTAGGGAAGTTAATACACGTGGAAGGAACTTCTTATGAGTAATGGTTTCTGAATAAACAGGGACTTTTAAAGAGTAGTTGCTTACTCTATATCAGGATTTTTAAAAATTGCCTAAGGACATCGTTAGTATCTTTATATATATATATATATATATGTATATATTTATATATACATATATTTATATATATCTATCTATGTATATATATATATATATATATATATATATATACACACACACACACATATATTTTAAAAGTGTCCTTTAGCCTCTTGGACTGATTAACGGAACATTTCTTAGGCTGAATAAATAATTCAATGCCTTGGAACAGTATTCCAATCACAGCTGATTATAAATTAGCATTCATTTTAACTGATGCAGATAATCATGCCAATGTCACAGCAAATACATTGTCAAKAATTACATATAGAGAGTATAATGTAAACAAGAAGCCAAGAAGTCCATTACCTGCTGGTGCATCGCTGTCAGTGATTTCTAAGTATTTCATCCTTGTTT